AAAACCCCAGAACAAGACAGACGGATGTTTTCCTCGCAGCTGTTTGGAGATGATTAAAATATTCTGCAGCAGCTCCTTTTTCAGCGTCTGTCAACAGCTTCAAATATTTAGCAGCATGACATCAACTATTTAGATTGTCTGCAGTAGATACTACACCCTCAATACCCAGAATACACAGAAACAGCTGTGAAAGCTTTGTCGACAGCTTACACTGTTACTAAAACTGGAAGATTTAATGGAAAGTTACCATATTGTGTTCATTTCAGCAACTGTGTACAAGTGGTGACAAAAATAGAAGACCCTGAAATCTGAGGTTGTCCAGTTACTTTGAAATCTGAGGTTGTCCACACAGTAAATTTTACTCAAATTGAATAAAATTTTACTCTAAGAAAGACAGTATTTGGTCCCAGTCTAAATGGAGTAAAATTTACTCCTATGGCAGAGTTATACTTTCAGAGTTAAATATACTCTATTTAGTGCAAATATTTTACTCTACATGATGATAATTTACTCAGTTTAGTATAAAATAAAAACAACTCCACCCTAATTTAATTCTAAATAGAACAGAATTTTACTCTGAATAGAAGTATAAATAGAAGAAAAATGAACTTTATTTCACTCACTATGTAACTGTACTACAATCATTCACTGCAAGGTTTTAAAGGTACAATAAATAAATCAGTAAAATATATTTTTGTTTTAACAGCCACCTTTATTGTTCAAAGGAAACAGTATGGCACAATATAAAAACTGGAATCACCATGCCTGTATGACACCTGTAAATCAAATGCTTTACAACAGAAACGCTCTTTGACAGAAATTACATGAGGTCAACAACAACATGGTAGAACTTGTGAAAAACTGGCATTTCACAATGGACTTTTATACAAACAACTAAATCTGCACGATAAATATTTCCATGGTGTTTTGCCCATCTACCAATCAACAACCTTGGTGTTGATTGGTAGCTGAAGAGTCTCTGCCATCTCACAGCTCCAGTCCAATGCATTTCAAAAAAGCATGTTACCTGATCCAGTGGTCAGTCTCTTGGAGTCAAATGTCTGCCAACTGAAAGCAATAGGACTTTGATGTTTTGTTGCCAACGTTTTAATTACATTTGTGAAACTTTTCAATTGTTTTTTTTTAAAGAAGCTGTGTTTTGCTTCATTGCATATGCACCAGCTATGCAAAAGTGGTCCTGTTTTGAGTATACATGTAGGATAATGCATCATGAAATGATGCTTTGGTAGCAGCTTCTTGTGTGGAAACAAACTTTTGGATAGCCTGTGGTGTTTGGCGATCAGGTGTTTCAAGAAAATAGTGATACCTTTTGATAACACTGCTGAGAATACAATATTCACTATTTGAAACAACAACAGTAGTAAATACCAGTGCTGATCGTTTGGACAAACTAAGTCTCCAAAGATGAGTGGTAGATGCCGATGTAAACACCTGGACTGGATGGCATTTAACCCCAAGTCATTTGAGTCTTCTCCCAACTTCACTGTAGGTGGTTTGTTGTTTTGTTCCATTTAGCCATAGTTAAAGCTCTTAATTCTCATGTCCACATCCTTTGATGTTGTATACTGATCTA